CACGAATCAGGTGAACACATTTCACAGGGCTCACGGCTGGGGGGGCTGATGCTCAGAACGGGGAGCTGGGGCAACGGCCGTGGAGTCAGGGCAGAGCTTGTATGGCTGTTGGAGTGCATTTGGGGGGCTGGGAGTGGGGAGGGCAGGATGCTCATGGCAGGTACTGAGGATTGGGGGGGCACTGGGAGTGGGGAGGGCAGGGTGCTCGTGGGGGCAGAGCGAGGTGGGGTGGTGAGAGAGGAAAACTTGCAGGTGCCTGGGAGCCCAGAATCCCACCTGCCCTACCCCACGCTGTGCCCCGCTTCTTGGCCCGAGGGGAAGGCTCTGGCCCTGCACAGCCCCACAGGTGCCCGCAGAGCTCTGTGAGTGCCGCTGGGGCCACCACAGTGGGCTGCAGCGAGGCCAGCCCTGTGCCAGGAGACGGCTCTCTGCCTGGGGCCACCCCGTGCTGGAGCCGCGCTCTCCTTCATTGCGCTGAGCTGCTCTTCCACACAGCTGCATTTGCGCTTCCAGAAGCTGGGACGCCTGGAGCAGCGGCCTGGGCCGGCCTGGTGGCGGCTGGCGCCCACCGCATGAGGGAGGCCGGGGACGGCCAGCCGGCCACGGCCGTTGTTAATAAACCACCTTCGAGCGCTGCGCCCGGGCGCGGGACCGGGTCCCCGCAGACCGCCTGCGCCGGGCAGGGCGGTGCGGGAGGCGGCGACAGGAAAGGCCTGTAGCGGCCCTGAGCGACGCGTCCGGCGGCGGACTACAGCTCCCGGCGTGCTCCGCGCCGGACTACAGCTCCCGGCGTGCTCCGCGGCGGCGGCGGCCTGCCCCGCGCGGCTCAGCTGGCGGCGATGCGCCGCGTTCGGCCCCGCCGCTCCCGGCACTGTAACTCCTGTTGGCTTCTCACTCTGTTGGCTGTGGTCAGCGATGTCTCCTGTCACGCTCAGGAGTGTCCCAGGATGGCTCTGAGCACCCTCCTCTCCTACCAGGCACATGTTCAGCCCTTTGGGGTGACTCTCCCCCTTTCTGCCCCACTCTGCCCGCAGCCTCATCCTGCGGGGGCCGGGCATGGAAGTCCTTGCCTGGCACCACAGACTGAATTGGACAAAGCGTGCTTAGCTGTGAACATCGGTTGTTTATTTCAACAACCAAGTCAACATCAGCATTTGCGTGTGCTCAGAGGAGCATGGCAAGACAGAGCAGGCCTTGGCCACTGAGGCTGCCTTTGCACCAGCAGGTGGGCCCCAGGAGGAGATGGTCATGGGACACTGCAGCCTGCACTAGATCCTCTTCATCCTGCTGCTCAAACCTTTTTCCCCGTGAGGATCTGCAGGAGCTCCTGCACCCGAGTGAAGAATTCTACCAGCTTCTGGAGGGGATATGGACAGGTGATAAGCTTGCCTGATTGTGTTGGCACTGGCCTTGGCCTCTGGTAGTGAGCGGAGGTGGTAAGAAAATGACTCCATTGCCGGGCTGTTGGAGACGCCCTTACTTGTGGGTACAGCCCCATCTGGTACAGGATCCAGTCGTAGAAGTGCTGTGTGGAGGTGTAGATCCCGGGCTGTCTGGCTCTGGCGCAGCCTTTCCCCCAGCTGGTCACCCCAACCAGCCAGAAGTAGTCCCCAAAGTTGTCTTTGCACATCAGAGGACCACCACTGTCCCCCTGCAGCAGAGGAGAGAGGACGGAGGTGTGTTGGTGGCCACCGTCAGCACTACAGGGGCTTCTGGATGTGCGGAAGAGGGATGGTCTGGGACTGGGATCTGGACCTATGGCTGCCAAGAGCAGGGATGGTCTTTCTGGGCAGAGTCCCGGCCTCTGTGACCAGGGGGGACACTGGCAAGGACCTGCCACCGGGGAAGGGGAGGTGAAGGCCCAGCAGGGGTGGGGAGCCAGCGGCGACAGGAGGGCGACTGGCCCATCAGAGCCCGTGCCGGCGTGTGCGTGGCAGCAGTGAGAGGGCTCCTGTGCTGCTGGGGCCAGGCTGGGGGCACCCTCCTACCTGGCAGGTGTCGATGAGCCCGTAGGCATAGCCAGCACACAGGTTGTTGCTGTGGACGGCCCCTGCGTACCACCGGCTGCTGTTACAGAGGTGGGTGTCCAGGAGGTGGACGGGGGCCTCCTGCAGGACATCAGGTTGTCGGGAACCTGTCAGCACAGAAAGCAATTAACCCCCAGCAGCTGGTTACCAGTTCTCCCCCCTCTCCCTGCTTGGTGAACCCCTTCCCCAGGGCTCGGCTTTGCACCCGGGAGCCCTTGGGCCAGCGCTTCCCTCTGTTCTCGTGCTGGGCAATGGGCTGGGTCCATCTCCCGATGGGCAACTGTCCCCACAGCCCGACTCTGGCCTTCGTCCCTGCTCTCGGGAAGCCCAGCCCTTCTCCCCAGCCAGCCAAGCTGGCCCTCGGCACACCAGCACTTTTGGGGAACTCACTTCTTGCATTCGTGGAGCCCCAACCACTGACGTAGCAGTTTTTCAGCTCCGACACCCTCAGTGAGGCGTCGGGCACACAGGCCAGCTGTACATAGTAGCTGCACTGGACTGGGTGATCCAGCTCCAGCAAGGCAATGTCGTTCAGCTGCGAGATGTTGTTGTAGTGCTCGTGCATCACGAGCCGCTGGATGTGGCGCACCTGGACCTCCGGGCCCATCTGAGACAGCCGGTTGGCCCCGATCACCACGCGCCAGAGGAGTTCGGGCCTGGAAGGCAGATGGAGAGGGGTGAGAGGGAGTGGAGCCCCGGGCTGCAGCAGCCCAGCCATTCCCTGCCCTCGGCTTCCCCAGTGAGGGAGCACAGCCACACTACTGAGACGCCTCTGGCACTGGCCATGGCCAGCTGGCAGCCGTGGCTGCTGGGGAGCGGTGGCACGAACCCAGCCTTCTCCAGAGCAGTCCCTGCTGGCTCGGGAGTGCTCTGGTGCAGGGTGAGGGACTGGGGAGGGAGCAGCACGTGGTGCTGCCACAGGGCACTGGCTGGGGTGATGGGGACAGCCCCGTGCCCTAGTGCCCCTCACCTGAGGTCGAGGAAGCAGTGGGCTGCAGTCAGGACCCACTGGGCGCTGATGAGGGACCCTCCGCACACGTGAGCCCAGTCGGCATACGAGGTTTGCTGGATGCTGACCATCCATGGCCAGGCCCCTGGACGGGCGTCTGTGCCCCCCACGACACGCGATGTCCCATAGTGATAAGCCAAGGGCCGGAGACCGCAGCTCGCTCTGTAACCAGCAATTCGTGACTCTCCTGCCCCAGGGCTCGCTGCTGCTCTGCCTCAAGGTCACCGTCCCCCCTCCCCACAAGGCGCTGCAGGGCCGGGGGACCCCCGGGGCGAGCGTCCGCCCACCCCTGTTCCTGCTTTAGCCCCGCAGCAGAGCTGTGCCAGCGGCCTGGGGGATGGCCAGGATCTCAGGCTCCCCCCTGGCGCTGGGGAAGCTGTGGGGTGGCTGTGGGGGACAAGCGGGCACCCTGCAGGGAACCCCGTAAGGGTTGCCCAAGCTGCTCCCAGAGCCTCGGCCACTTACCCACAGTTGTCCCAGGTGCCCTGTGCGGGCCAGCACAGGGCCAGCAGGACGAGGACCAGGAGCAGATGCATGGTGCCAGTGGCACGTGGCAGATGCAGGAGCCGAGGCAGTGCTGGCAGCGCCAGCAGCGCTCGCAGTGCCCTGGTTGCCAGGGCTGATGTCACAGAGCCCCTGGTTCCGATGCTGGGCAGGGGTCTATCAGGGAGAGGGGGGGGCAGCTCGGGGGGTTCCGAGCAGGAGGGGCGGCAGAAGCTGGGCCCAGACACCCCCGGCAGGCCCCACTGATCGCTCCGGTTGCGCGATGCGGGTGTGTGGCCCACAGCCCGTGACAGCGCCTGGCTCCAAGCCAGCGCCTGCCAACAGCCCACAGGAAAACCAATGTGGCACCACAGCCCCTTGGGAAGGTCCCCCCACCCTGTTCTGCAGCCCTTGGCCACCACGTCCTTCCCAAAGCACACACCAGAGAGCAGAACTGCCCCCGCACGCACTCGGTTGGGTGCTGCAGAGCCCCTCTGGGGATGGCAGTGATGTGCGAGGCCAATAATCCAAGGATGGCCATGCTGTGTTCCCCGTCCCGCACAAAGCAGTGTCCCCTCCTGCTCTGGCTGTGTCAGCCCCAGCAACACCCTGGCAGTGCACGGCCAAAGAGATGCCACTTTAAGCTTTAGACAGAAAATGATGCTGCTGGTGTGTTGGCCTGCCATTCTCCACAGCATTGGTAAATCCTTGTCATGGTTTGATCCCCACCACTCAGCCACTCGCTTGCCCCTTCTCCACCCCACAGGGGAGATGAGGGAGAAAAGGAGGAGAAAGGAAAAAACCTCATGGGTTGAAATAAAGACAGTTTAATAGAATGAGATCAGAAAACTAGCACAAAAAGTATCAATAACCACCTGTCCTGGGTGGGCCATCCTGGGACACTCCTGAGCGTGACAGGAGACATCGCTGACCACAGCCAACAGAGTGAGAAGGCAACAGGAGTTACAGTGCCGGGAGCGGCGGGGCCGAACGCGGCGCATCGCCGCCAGCTGAGCCGCGCGGGGCAGGCCGCCGCCGCCGCGGAGCACGCCGGGAGCTGTAGTCCGGCGCGGAGCACGCCGGGAGCTGTAGTCCGCCGCCGGACGCGTCGCTCAGGGCCGCTACAGGCCTTTCCTGTCGCCGCCTCCCGCACCGCCCTGCCCGGCGCAGGCGGTCTGCGGGGACCCGGTCCCGCGCCCGGGCGCAGCGCTCGAAGGTGGTTTATTAACAACGGCCGTGGCCGGCTGGCCGTCCCCGGCCTCCCTCATGCGGTGGGCGCCAGCCGCCACCAGGCCGGCCCAGGCCGCTGCTCCAGGCGTCCCAGCTTCTGGAAGCGCAAATGCAGCTGTGTGGAAGAGCAGCTCAGCGCAATGAAGGAGAGCGCGGCTCCAGCACGGGGTGGCCCCAGGCAGAGAGCCGTCTCCTGGCACAGGGCTGGCCTCGCTGCAGCCCACTGTGGTGGCCCCAGCGGCACTCACAGAGCTCTGCGGGCACCTGTGGGGCTGTGCAGGGCCAGAGCCTTCCCCTCGGGCCAAGAAGCGGGGCACAGCGTGGGGTAGGGCAGGTGGGATTCTGGGCTCCCAGGCACCTGCAAGTTTTCCTCTCTCACCACCCCACCTCGCTCTGCCCCCACGAGCACCCTGCCCTCCCCACTCCCAGTGCCCCCCCAATCCTCAGTACCTGCCATGAGCATCCTGCCCTCCCCACTCCCAGCCCCCCAAATGCACTCCAACAGCCATACAAGCTCTGCCCTGACTCCACGGCCGTTGCCCCAGCTCCCCGCTCTGAGGATCAGCACAGATGAGCTGCTCTGGGTCTCCTGCCCCGTCATGTTGGGCAGCACCAGCTCCAGCAGACTTGTGGGCAGAGAACACACAGCCTGGTGCTGTGCAATGGTGGGAACAGAGCTGGGAGCTGCAGCACCATCCCTTGGCAGGGGCCAGGAGCACAGCAAGAGGAGGGGATGGATGGTCCCGGCAGCTTCAGAGGCAGGACTTTGTGCCGTGAGGGCAGAGGGGCCGTGGCTGGGTGGGAAGCAGCTCAGGCAATGCACGCTCAAGCACCTCCACGTCTCCCGTGACTCCAGGAGGTGGAGACGTGGCCGGGGCTTGGCAGCCAGGGCCCCTTGTAAGGTCTGTGGATGCTGGGGCTGATCGAGGAGGGGGGCTGCAACCCCCTGCCACCCACATGTCTGGAAGGGTCTCCGTCCCCGTGCTCGTGAGCGAGTCCAGCTCCACGTTCACTAGTGAATGGCACACGCACACGGTGCTCCCACCCAGCGCTGGCTCTGGACACTGGGTGTTTCCAGCTGTGGGGTCCCTGGGGCCTCTGTTCTTTTGCCATTGCTGGCAGCCTCTGGACCCACCGCCCAGTGGGTAGAGAGCAGGGCCACACAGATCCGGGTTTGGAATCGCTCCCAAGAAGGAGGTGGGATGGACTGTGATGATCAGGGGCAGGGCTCAGTCAAACAAGCAAAGACACCAGCAGCTTGCCTGTGTGTGACGGGCTCCTTCATCCCGCCTTGTCTCCATTTTCCATGCTCGTACATCCCCTTCATCTTCCTTGTCTCCTCCCTCTCTCCACCCCTGTCTCTCCTCCCAGACCAGGGACCCACCCCCAGCTATTTCCCACCCTGCTCCCAGGTTTGTTCCATCTGTGAACAGATTTGGTGTCTCAGGAGCTCTGGTCACCTTGGACTCCCATGGCATTACTGACGGGGTTTCCTGGATACTGTGTCCCTGCCACATTCCTCTCCCCAAAATGACCCCAACTCTTCCTTCAATTGTCTGAGAAGTGTGGCCACCTCTCTCATCATCCCCCCTTAAGCACCCATGAAATCTGGCTCTTCCCTACGGCACTGTAACTCCTGTTGGCTTCTCACTCTGTTGGCTGTGGTCAGCGATGTCTCCTGTCACGCTCAGGAGTGTCCCAGGATGGCTCTGAGCACCCTCCTCTCCTACCAGGCACATGTTCAGCCCTTTGGGGTGACTCTCCCCCTTTCTGCCCCACTCTGCCCGCAGCCTCATCCTGCGGGGGCCGGGCATGGAAGTCCTTGCCTGGCACCACAGACTGAATTGGACAAAGCGTGCTTAGCTGTGAACATCGGTTGTTTATTTCAACAACCAAGTCAACATCAGCATTTGCGTGTGCTCAGAGGAGCATGGCAGGACAGAGCAGGCCTTGGCCACTGAGGCTGCCTTTGCACCAGCAGGTGGGCCCCAGGAGGAGATGGTCATGGGACACTGCAGCCTGCACTAGATCCTCTTCATCCTGCTGCTCAAACCTTTTTCCCCGTGAGGATCTGCAGGAGCTCCTGCACCCGAGTGAAGAATTCTACCAGCTTCTGGAGGGGATATGGACAGGTGATAAGCTTGCCTGATTGTGTTGGCACTGGCCTTGGCCTCTGGTAGTGAGCGGAGGTGGTAAGAAAATGACTCCATTGCCGGGCTGTTGGAGACGCCCTTACTTGTGGGTACAGCCCCATCTGGTACAGGATCCAGTCGTAGAAGTGCTGTGTGGAGGTGTAGATCCCGGGCTGTCTGGCTCTGGCGCAGCCTTTCCCCCAGCTGGTCACCCCAACCAGCCAGAAGTAGTCCCCAAAGTTGTCTTTGCACATCAGAGGACCACCACTGTCCCCCTGCAGCAGAGGAGAGAGGACGGAGGTGTGTTGGTGGCCACCGTCAGCACTACAGGGGCTTCTGGATGTGCGGAAGAGGGATGGTCTGGGACTGGGATCTGGACCTATGGCTGCCAAGAGCAGGGATGGTCTTTCTGGGCAGAGTCCCGGCCTCTGTGACCAGGGGGGACACTGGCAAGGACCTGCCACCGGGGAAGGGGAGGTGAAGGCCCAGCAGGGGTGGGGAGCCAGCGGCGACAGGAGGGCGACTGGCCCATCAGAGCCCGTGCCGGGGTGTGCGTGGCAGCAGTGAGAGGGCTCCTGTGCTGCTGGGGCCAGGCTGGGGGCACCCTCCTACCTGGCAGGTGTCGATGAGCCCGTAGGCATAGCCAGCACACAGGTTGTTGCTGTGGACGGCCCCTGCGTACCACCGGCTGCTGTTACAGAGGTGGGTGTCCAGGAGGTGGACGGGGGCCTCCTGCAGGACATCAGGTTGTCGGGAACCTGTCAGCACAGAAAGCAATTAACCCCCAGCAGCTGGTTACCAGTTCTCCCCCCTCTCCCTGCTTGGTGAACCCCTTCCCCAGGGCTCGGCTTTGCACCCGGGAGCCCTTGGGCCAGCGCTTCCCTCTGTTCTCGTGCTGGGCAATGGGCTGGGTCCATCTCCCGATGGGCAACTGTCCCCACAGCCCGACTCTGGCCTTCGTCCCTGCTCTCGGGAAGCCCAGCCCTTCTCCCCAGCCAGCCAAGCTGGCCCTCGGCACACCAGCACTTTTGGGGAACTCACTTCTTGCATTCGTGGAGCCCCAACCACTGACGTAGCAGTTTTTCAGCTCCGACACCCTCAGTGAGGCGTCGGGCACACAGGCCAGCTGTACATAGTAGCTGCACTGGACTGGGTGATCCAGCTCCAGCAAGGCAATGTCGTTCAGCTGCGAGATGTTGTTGTAGTGCTCGTGCATCACGAGCCGCTGGATGTGGCGCACCTGGACCTCCGGGCCCATCTGAGACAGCCGGTTGGCCCCGATCACCACGCGCCAGAGGAGTTCGGGCCTGGAAGGCAGATGGAGAGGGGTGAGAGGGAGTGGAGCCCCGGGCTGCAGCAGCCCAGCCATTCCCTGCCCTCGGCTTCCCCAGTGAGGGAGCACAGCCACACTACTGAGACGCCTCTGGCACTGGCCATGGCCAGCTGGCAGCCGTGGCTGCTGGGGAGCGGTGGCACGAACCCAGCCTTCTCCAGAGCAGTCCCTGCTGGCTCGGGAGTGCTCTGGTGCAGGGTGAGGGACTGGGGAGGGAGCAGCACGTGGTGCTGCCACAGGGCACTGGCTGGGGTGATGGGGACAGCCCCGTGCCGTAGTGCCCCTCACCTGAGGTCGAGGAAGCAGTGGGCTGCAGTCAGGACCCACTGGGCGCTGATGAGGGACCCTCCGCACACGTGAGTCCAGTCGGCATACGAGGTTTGCTGGATGCTGACCATCCATGGCCAGGCCCCTGGACGGGCGTCTGTGCCCCCCACGACACGCGATGTCCCATAGTGATAAGCCAAGGGCCGGAGACCGCAGCTCGCTCTGTAACCAGCAATTCGTGACTCTCCTGCCCCAGGGCTCGCTGCTGCTCTGCCTCAAGGTCACCGTCCCCCCTCCCCACAAGGCGCTGCAGGGCCGGGGGACCCCCGGGGCGAGCGTCCGCCCACCCCTGTTCCTGCTTTAGCCCCGCAGCAGAGCTGTGCCAGCGGCCTGGGGGATGGCCAGGATCTCAGGCTCCCCCCTGGCGCTGGGGAAGCTGTGGGGTGGCTGTGGGGGACAAGCGGGCACCCTGCAGGGAACCCCGTAAGGGTTGCCCAAGCTGCTCCCAGAGCCTCGGCCACTTACCCACAGTTGTCCCAGGTGCCCTGTGCGGGCCAGCACAGGGCCAGCAGGACGAGGACCAGGAGCAGCTTCATGGTGCCAGTGGCACGTGGCAGATGCAGGAGCCGAGGCAGTGCTGGCAGCGCCAGCAGCGCTCGCAGTGCCCTGGTTGCCAGGGCTGATGTCACAGAGCCCCTGGTTCCGATGCTGGGCAGGGGTCTATCAGGGAGAGGGGGGGGCAGCTCGGGGGGTTCCGAGCAGGAGGGGCAGCAGAAGCTGGGCCCAGACACCCCCGGCAGGCCCCACTGATCGCTCCGGTTGCGCGATGCGGGTGTGTGGCCCACAGCCCGTGACAGCGCCTGGCTCCAAGCCAGCGCCTGCCAACAGCCCACAGGAAAACCAATGTGGCACCACAGCCCCTTGGGAAGGTCCCCCCACCCTGTTCTGCAGCCCTTGGCCACCACGTCCTTCCCAAAGCACACACCAGAGAGCAGAACTGCCCCCGCACGCACTCGGTTGGGTGCTGCAGAGCCCCTCTGGGGATGGCAGTGATGTGCGAGGCCAATAATCCAAGGATGGCCATGCTGTGTCCCCCGTCCCGCACAAAGCAGTGTCCCCTCCTGCTCTGGCTGTGTCAGCCCCAGCAACACCCTGGCAGTGCACGGCCAAAGAGATGCCACTTTAAGCTTTAGACAGAAAATGATGCTGCTGGTGTGTTGGCCTGCCATTCTCCACAGCATTGGTAAATCCTTGTCATGGTTTGATCCCCACCACTCAGCCACTCGCTTGCCCCTTCTCCACCCCACAGGGGAGATGAGGGAGAAAAGGAGGAGAAAGGAAAAAACCTCATGGGTTGAAATAAAGACAGTTTAATAGAATGAGATCAGAAAACTAGCACAAAAAGTATCAATAACCACCTGTCCTGGTGGGCCACTGAAACCAACAGCAGATTCTCCCCCCACTTCTCTATCCATGGAAAGAGCCAACCTTGGTTGTTATAGCAGTAAGTATAAGCAAGAGCCCCTCTGCATGCCGTTCCTTGGCATAAATTGAGAATTGGCATAAATTGGTCCTATCTCTCTGGGAGCAAGCAGTGTCTCAGCAATATGCTGTTAATTTCAGACCGTTCAATTAGTAAGAAGAGCCTTGGTTGAAAAGTAAAACTAGTGAACAGAAAATTGGTTCTGGTTTACCTCAAACCAGGAACCACCACCTGCTGAACTGGCACCATCCTGAGCTGTGATCAGGCATTCCCACCCCCTGGCCAACCCTCAGTTACCTACTGAGCAGGTCTGTGGCGTGGAACATTGCATTGGCCATTCCATCGCTCTATTCTTCTATGGGAAGCTAAAAAAAAGTCCTTGATTAATGTAAACGTCAAGGAGCCCATCACACACAGGCAAGCTGCTGGTGTCTTTGCTTGTTTGACTGAGCCCTGCCCCTGATCATCACAGTCCATCCCACCTCCTTCTTGGGAGCGATTCCAAACCCGGATCTGTGTGGCCCTGCTCTCTACCCACTGGGCGGTGGGTCCAGGGGCTGCCAGCAATGGCAAAAGAACAGAGGCCCCAGGGACCCCACAGCTGGAAACACCCAGTGTCCAGAGCCAGCGCTGGGTGGGAGCACCGTGTGCGTGTGCCATTCACTAGTGAACGTGGAGCTGGACTCGCTCACGAGCACGGGGACGGAGACCCTTCCAGACATGTGGGTGGCAGGGGGTTGCAGCCCCCCTCCTCGATCAGCCCCAGCATCCACAGACCTTACAAGGGGCCCTGGCTGCCAAGCCCCGGCCACGTCTCCACCTCCTGGAGTCACGGGAGACGTGGAGGTGCTTGAGCGTGCATTGCCTGAGCTGCTTCCCACCCAGCCACGGCCCCTCTGCCCTCACGGCACAAAGTCCTGCCTCTGAAGCTGCCGGGACCATCCATCCCCTCCTCTTGCTGTGCTCCTGGCCCCTGCCAAGGGATGGTGCTGCAGCTCCCAGCTCTGTTCCCACCATTGCACAGCACCAGGCTGTGTGTTCTCTGCCCACAAGTCTGCTGGAGCTGGTGCTGCCCAACATGACGGGGCAGGAGACCCAGAGCAGCTCATCTGTGCTGATCCTCAGAGCGGGGAGCTGGGGCAACGGCCGTGGAGTCAGGGCAGAGCTTGTATGGCTGTTGGAGTGCATTTGGGGGGCTGGGAGTGGGGAGGGCAGGATGCTCATGGCAGGTACTGAGGATTGGGGGGGCACTGGGAGTGGGGAGGGCAGGGTGCTCGTGGGGGCAGAGCGAGGTGGGGTGGTGAGAGAGGAAAACTTGCAGGTGCCTGGGAGCCCAGAATCCCACCTGCCCTACCCCACGCTGTGCCCCGCTTCTTGGCCCGAGGGGAAGGCTCTGGCCCTGCACAGCCCCACAGGTGCCCGCAGAGCTCTGTGAGTGCCGCTGGGGCCACCACAGTGGGCTGCAGCGAGGCCAGCCCTGTGCCAGGAGACGGCTCTCTGCCTGGGGCCACCCCGTGCTGGAGCCGCGCTCTCCTTCATTGCGCTGAGCTGCTCTTCCACACAGCTGCATTTGCGCTTCCAGAAGCTGGGACGCCTGGAGCAGCGGCCTGGGCCGGCCTGGTGGCGGCTGGCGCCCACCGCATGAGGGAGGCCGGGGACGGCCAGCCGGCCACGGCCGTTGTTAATAAACCACCTTCGAGCGCTGCGCCCGGGCGCGGGACCGGGTCCCCGCAGACCGCCTGCGCCGGGCAGGGCGGTGCGGGAGGCGGCGACAGGAAAGGCCTGTAGCGGCCCTGAGCGACGCGTCCGGCGGCGGACTACAGCTCCCGGCGTGCTCCGCGCCGGACTACAGCTCCCGGCGTGCTCCGCGGCGGCGGCGGCCTGCCCCGCGCGGCTCAGCTGGCGGCGATGCGCCGCGTTCGGCCCCGCCGCTCCCGGCACTGTAACTCCTGTTGCCTTCTCACTCTGTTGGCTGTGGTCAGCGATGTCTCCTGTCACGCTCAGGAGTGTCCCAGGATGGCCCACCCAGGACAGGTGGTTATTGATACTTTTTGTGCTAGTTTTCTGATCTCATTCTATTAAACTGTCTTTATTTCAACCCATGAGGTTTTTTCCTTTCTCCTCCTTTTCTCCCTCATCTCCCCTGTGGGGTGGAGAAGGGGCAAGCGAGTGGCTGAGTGGTGGGGATCAAACCATGACAAGGATTTACCAATGCTGTGGAGAATGGCAGGCCAACACACCAGCAGCATCATTTTCTGTCTAAAGCTTAAAGTGGCATCTCTTTGGCCGTGCACTGCCAGGGTGTTGCTGGGGCTGACACAGCCAGAGCAGGAGGGGACACTGCTTTGTGCGGGACGGGGAACACAGCATGGCCATCCTTGGATTATTGGCCTCGCACATCACTGCCATCCCCAGAGGGGCTCTGCAGCACCCAACCGAGTGCGTGCGGGGGCAGTTCTGCTCTCTGGTGTGTGCTTTGGGAAGGACGTGGTGGCCAAGGGCTGCAGAACAGGGTGGGGGGACCTTCCCAAGGGGCTGTGGTGCCACATTGGTTTTCCTGTGGGCTGTTGGCAGGCGCTGGCTTGGAGCCAGGCGCTGTCACGGGCTGTGGGCCACACACCCGCATCGCGCAACCGGAGCGATCAGTGGGGCCTGCCGGGGGTGTCTGGGCCCAGCTTCTGCCGCCCCTCCTGCTCGGAACCCCCCGAGCTGCCCCCCCCTCTCCCTGATAGACCCCTGCCCAGCATCGGAACCAGGGGCTCTGTGACATCAGCCCTGGCAACCAGGGCACTGCGAGCGCTGCTGGCGCTGCCAGCACTGCCTCGGCTCCTGCATCTGCCACGTGCCACTGGCACCATGCATCTGCTCCTGGTCCTCGTCCTGCTGGCCCTGTGCTGGCCCGCACAGGGCACCTGGGACAACTGTGGGTAAGTGGCCGAGGCTCTGGGAGCAGCTTGGGCAACCCTTACGGGGTTCCCTGCAGGGTGCCCGCTTGTCCCCCACAGCCACCCCACAGCTTCCCCAGCGCCAGGGGGGAGCCTGAGATCCTGGCCATCCCCCAGGCCGCTGGCACAGCTCTGCTGCGGGGCTAAAGCAGGAACAGGGGTGGGCGGACGCTCGCCCCGGGGGTCCCCCGGCCCTGCAGCGCCTTGTGGGGAGGGGGGACGGTGACCTTGAGGCAGAGCAGCAGCGAGCCCTGGGGCAGGAGAGTCACGAATTGCTGGTTACAGAGCGAGCTGCGGTCTCCGGCCCTTGGCTTATCACTATGGGACATCGCGTGTCGTGGGGGGCACAGACGCCCGTCCAGGGGCCTGGCCATGGATGGTCAGCATCCAGCAAACCTCGTATGCCGACTGGGCTCACGTGTGCGGAGGGTCCCTCATCAGCGCCCAGTGGGTCCTGACTGCAGCCCACTGCTTCCTCGACCTCAGGTGAGGGGCACTAGGGCACGGGGCTGTCCCCATCACCCCAGCCAGTGCCCTGTGGCAGCACCACGTGCTGCTCCCTCCCCAGTCCCTCACCCTGCACCAGAGCACTCCCGAGCCAGCAGGGACTGCTCTGGAGAAGGCTGGGTTCGTGCCACCGCTCCCCAGCAGCCACGGCTGCCAGCTGGCCATGGCCAGTGCCAGAGGCGTCTCAGTAGTGTGGCTGTGCTCCCTCACTGGGGAAGCCGAGGGCAGGGAATGGCTGGGCTGCTGCAGCCCGGGGCTCCACTCCCTCTCACCCCTCTCCATCTGCCTTCCAGGCCCGAACTCCTCTGGCGCGTGGTGATCGGGGCCAACCGGCTGTCTCAGATGGGCCCGGAGGTCCAGGTGCGCCACATCCAGCGGCTCGTGATGCACGAGCACTACAACAACATCTCGCAGCTGAACGACATTGCCTTGCTGGAGCTGGATCACCCAGTCCAGTGCAGCTACTATGTACAGCTGGCCTGTGTGCCCGACGCCTCACTGAGGGTGTCGGAGCTGAAAAACTGCTACGTCAGTGGTTGGGGCTCCACGAATGCAAGAAGTGAGTTCCCCAAAAGTGCTGGTGTGCCGAGGGCCAGCTTGGCTGGCTGGGGAGAAGGGCTGGGCTTCCCGAGAGCAGGGACGAAGGCCAGAGTCGGGCTGTGGGGACAGTTGCCCATCGGGAGATGGACCCAGCCCATTGCCCAGCACGAGAACAGAGGGAAGCGCTGGCCCAAGGGCTCCCGGGTGCAAAGCCGAGCCCTGGGGAAGGGGTTCACCAAGCAGGGAGAGGGGGGAGAACTGGTAACCAGCTGCTGGGGGTTAATTGCTTTCTGTGCTGACAGGTTCCCGACAACCTGATGTCCTGCAGGAGGCCCCCGTCCACCTCCTGGACACCCACCTCTGTAACAGCAGCCGGTGGTACGCAGGGGCCGTCCACAGCAACAACCTGTGTGCTGGCTATGCCTACGGGCTCATCGACACCTGCCAGGTAGGAGGGTGCCCCCAGCCTGGCCCCAGCAGCACAGGAGCCCTCTCACCGCTGCCACGCACACCCCGGCACGGGCTCTGATGGGCCAGTCGCCCTCCTGTCGCCGCTGGCTCCCCACCCCTGCTGGGCCTTCACCTCCCCTTCCCCGGTGGCAGGTCCTTGCCAGTGTCCCCCCTGGTCACAGAGGCCGGGACTCTGCCCAGAAAGACCATCCCTGCTCTTGGCAGCCATAGGTCCAGATCCCAGTCCCAGACCATCCCTCTTCCGCACATCCAGGAGCCCCTGTAGTGCTGACGGTGGCCACCAACACACCTCCGTCCTCTCTCCTCTGCTGCAGGGGGACAATGGTGGTCCTCTGATGTGCAAAGACAACTTTGGGGACTACTTCTGGCTGGTTGGGGTGACCAGCTGGGGGAAAGGCTGCGCCAGAGCCAGACAGCCCAGGATCTACACCTCCACACAGCACTTCTACGACTGGATCCTGTATCAGATGCTCCCTCAGACGCGGCAGTCCTACTTCTCGTACACGCAGCCGCAGGTCGATCTAATTCCGGTGCTGTTGGTGGTGGGGGCAGGGACAACGGTGGCACTGGTGGAGGGGCTGCGGCCACCGGAGCTGGAGCTGCTGCCAGAGGGGGGGGGGAGCTGCCACCAGAGGTGGATTGTTAAAATCTGGAGGTGGTATGTAATCCAGTGGCTCCCATTCATCATTTTTTTTTTCTTTCCTTTTTCATTTTTATCTCCTTCTTCCTCAAACTTTTCATCTGTTTTTAATGCAAATATTGAGGCTGGAAAAGGACGTGAAGTCCTGATCCATAATTCTGCATAATCACTTTCCTCCTGACCAATATTGGACCAATTTTGATACACTTTTTCCTTTTCTGGGGCCCCTTTCATTCCAATTCCTAATCATTATTCCTAATGGTATGTCTGGTAATGTGCTCCCTTCCTCCTGGTCCTGGGTTCTCGATTTTGTCTGACCCATCTAGGAATTTTACTGTGGCAATTCCTACAGCCCTTGGTTACCGGTAAGAGTGTCTTGCAGGGGGTTTAGGACCTATCACCCACCCACGAGTCCTATAGGAGTCGCTTCGGTCCTTCACCGGCCAAGTCCCTGGCGGGAGATTGGAGCCGCGGTTCGCAGACCTCCACACTCGCTTCGGAACCAGGTTCCGTCTCAGTCACACTCTGACACACACAGGCACCCGAATCCCACCCAACCCAACGGGATACGCCTTTAAAAACTTACGACTCCGTCGTCTTCCTTCGGATCTTCGCGCGCAGAATTACGGGCAAAACAAACTGCTGCAGCCGGCAAGGGAGCTCTAAAAAAATTAAATTCTTTGCTTGTCCCTACTCAGGTTCAGGATGGCGTTAGTCCCGACCTGACCCGACCAGGAGCCACCAAAGCGGTGGGGCGCCCCCCCCTAGATCAAGTCAGAATTCAGGAACCAAGACCATCCCGGACGAGCCCCCAGTTGTGATAAATGATTTTTCCTCAAACAGGATTCCAATTAAAGTTTACAATTTATTAAACGAGTAAACAGCCCTGGGTGCACCGGGAGTCTCCACTCAACCAAGGCACACACGTGCAAGTCCCGTTTTGGGTTTATATCGCTTCTCCTAATACATATTCATATAAAGGTTGGCCTATGCTAATGATAGGCCTGTCTTCTTTGGCGCATGCCCTCCTCACCTTCTGGAATCTTCTATGTGTTTTCCTTGGCTCCTTGACCCGACTCCAGGCGTGTGCCCCACAGACCCCTCCCGCTCAGCACCATGCGGCCAGTAACAAAAACTGGTTTCCTTAGGGGTTCTTACAACAAACAGAAACTACATACATACAATCCCGCTTCTCCCAAGCCCGTGGTCATACGAGGACAAACAGAACAGTTAAAGATATTAACATGAATCAGGTGAACACATTTCACACTTTCATGATGAGGAAACAGATTTGGCCTTTTTTTAGCACAAAATCCTGTTTGTCAGTAGATGTTTCGTTTACTCTGAAGGGGAGGCATAAATCTTATTTGTCATCTCTCAAGTGCAATGAGATTTGACTGCAAACATCATCTGAACTAAAGGTGGTAGCAGAGAGTGAGTAGGGCAATAGTATTAAAAATAAGATTAGTTTTTAACCTTGGTCCTGGCACTGGAGAATGGCTCATTCTGGCTTTCCAAAAATGTGAGTTGTACTTTTTTTTTCCTTTCTTCTTGCCTTGCCTTGGCACTCAGAGGCTGATCCCAAAGACCAGGACAAAAATTACATTTGGATTCAAGGAATTTATGCTGGTCTTATTTGGTACAAGGAAATGCAGAGGGGGTAAGTAATTGTGCCTTCTCCTTTGTTATAGCTCAAAAATTTAAGTGTACACATCTGTGAGGCCAGCTTGTAACTTTGATTAATGAAACATGCATCTTCATGGCCTTTAGGTTTTATTTTATTCAGCAAACATAACATTTAAATGTGGGCTTTCCGTTGAGAAGGTTAAATGCACATTCACTTCCATTAAACTAAGTTGCTTTTCCACTTTATATGCATAAAGTCTAAAGATATATTCACTCTGGGAGTAATCATGTGAAGTGTACAGAAAGAAAAATAAGGTTTTTTCAAATATAGCAGACACGTCTGTACATTTTCTGGGTCAGATATGCTAGCACATAGGATTACCATTAAGGCAAAATGAGCAACTGGTCTACATTGCTCTAGGCTGGCTAAGCAGACCCTCTCTACTCATAGGATATAGTATGGAGAGAAATAAAATGCAATTATGCTAAACAATTAATTCCTATTTGTATAGGAATCTTTCTCCAAGAAACTGTAGCTGGCCATGCTGCAGTTTCCAAGACAACAACCCCCTGAGAGTACCTCCTGGTTTGGGTTTTTTTTTTGTTCTGAGTTACGCTCTGGATCTCCTAAACAGGGATTTAAGGGTCAAAAGCTGGTACAGTTCTATTAGACACCTTTTTAATAATGAAGCCAAACTATTTCAGCAGACTAAGTCTAAAGCAAAATATGTTTTTGATTCTGTATCAACTATGCATTTTACATTTCTTGTTAGGCATCTTTAAATAAACTAGCCATCATTTTTATTCAGTTGCCTGCAAAGGTATGCTATGTGATGATGTTTTTATTTTTAGAAGCATTCTTTTATCTGAAATACATTAACACAAGAAATGTCAGGCTTGGACAATTTCTGAAGCATTTTCTACAAAAAACACCAAAACTGATAAGCACTCCTTAGAATAGAATCAAGGAGAACAGATCACAGTTTTATATCAGCTGTATGGGAGATTTTATAACCCTTCCTCCATCTTGTCTTCAGAAACCCAATTCCATTTACACTCACATGGATGCAAACTTAAATGCAGCTATGTGTGAGAATAAGGCCTGACCTGTCTCTTATTTTGTAGTAATATGACCGGATATGTTTGCGTTTGCTTATGTTTATCTAAATTTTATAGCTGTTACATAGAATAGTAATATAGTAAATATGAAGAATAGCAGTAAATCTGCAGTTGGTGCGAGAGTTTTCCAAAGTGTGAGATTCCATGTTGCTCTGAACCTGTGCAGCATGAACATAAAACAAAGCCACTGTTACTTGATGTAAATAGGTTTCACACTTTAAAAAAAATATGCTTTAAATGGCTGCTTAAAATACTAGATAGTATGAGCTTAAAACCACTCTATACTGATCTAGCAGCACTACCATTCTTTACTGAAGACTGGTGTTTAAAGCACAAGAGTATCATATTGTGTTATTCTTAAGCTTCTTAATCTGAAATATTTACTATCACTTGATTAAATTAATAAAGTGGTGTTCTTCATGGCACAACTTCTTATCAAAGGAAAATATGCTTTTGAATATGTGAGTGGTGGTAAAATGTTATGGAGGTGCTGCTTTGTTTTGTTTCATCATTAATTGAGCTGGCAGCATAGTTGTTCTGACTTCACTTCTCAGGTAGGACTGACAAAGCCTCATTTCATATTGAATCATCTGACTTGTAGAATGAGCATTTAATACTCATTGCAGAAGAGAGAGATTGAAAGTTTCTTAAGTCCAGGGCAAACAGAGGTAGCACATAAACTTCTGATGTGTAGCATTGCCTGCGTTCCTTCTTTGTTAAAATGTAGGCAATACGCTGCTGTTTCTAAACATGAAAGAGAAGAAACCATGTGGGTATGTTCCACTGGAACAGCAGTTCTTTCTGCAGCTGTGGAAACTAATTTAGATTAGACCTTAACCTCATTTTTCAAACCTGTTTGGACTTGGGCTTAACAGTATTACGAGGTTGTGTTTTTTGGAGTAACTCTTCAGTGGTTATTTTCAGAAGCAGTCACTCAGGGTTTTGATCTTGCAGTGAAAGTACTAAATGCTATTTTAGTAGAGTCTGGAGAGAAAAGGGAAAAATGAAAAGGCTTTTTTGGTAAAAAGCACTTGCACCTCATGTATTTTATCATAATGTCCTGAGTTTGGCTGTGGCTGCTGGAAAATTATTTAATAGAGAGAGAGATTACAAGAGAATCACTTTTAAACGTACAGAAGCCTGTTCTCGGACACTAGAGGGTGCAATAAAACCTTATTGCTGGTGCCTTTACAGACATGACCTACCTGGGCTTGAATCTCTGGTTGTAGATGGACATACTTCTTTTATGTGGCTGTGCTAAGAAAATGCTGTGGCTGAAATTCACTCCTCTTAATGACAATGTTCTCTAGAATGCTACCTGTTGAGTTACAGGATGATGTTTGAATGCTTGTCTTAAAACAAAAACAAAAAGAAAAATACACAATATTTTTAATAATAGCCCAAGGCCTTTCCTGTATTGAAATAATGTATTCCATATTTTTCTGCACCAAATAGCTTTGATTTGTGGGCTTATTTAGTAATGGATGACGAAGATGGTATTTGAACTACTGCTTTCCCCATGTATTTAGAAACTGTGTCTGAAATGCAGGTAAGTTTTTGGCTTTTTTTTTTTTTTCTCTTCCCCCCCCACAAGGGCATATTGCTGGCTTATCTTCAACTTGGTATCCACCAGGACCCCTAGGTCCTTTTCTGAGAAGCTGCCTTCTATCTGGGCAGCCCACAGCACATACTGGTGCATGAGGTTGCGCCTCCCCAGGTGCAGGACTGTGCACTTCTTGTTGAACTTCATGAAGCTCCTGACAGCCCATTTCTCCAGCATTCTTTGTAAAGAAGATGGTACTTACTAATTTGTTTTGCTGATTTTTGTACCATTTTTAGGTGTTGCAGAAGGAGATTTTGTGACAGATACATTCTAATAAGTCTTCAGCAACAACCTTCCCTGAATGTAGGAAATAATGTGCACCTCTAACAAATTCCTGTAAATCTGCTTGATTCAGAGTTTTCTACTATTAATTGTTTACTATTTAAACATTTCTTCATGCCAGATGGAATGCAATAAGTCTGGAAACTCAAACTAACAGTGATTGATTTTCAGGAAACTGACATAAAGGTTTTGGAGCTATTTTCTTAGGATGTCATCCAGATAATTTTAAAATATTTGTGGGGTTTTTTTGATTTTTATTCTTTCAAGTAAAGAGCATTACAGATCTGTATGGTGGAAGATATCCAGCACAGAGGAAAAAGTTTGGAAAGATTATAAGAAAGTTTGGCACTGTGTAGTTCAGAATTATAATCTGCTCTTGGTTGTCAGTATGTATTTCCTTTCCAAGACTGGAAAAAAGCATTAAAAGGATCATAGAATGGTTTGGGTTGGAAGGGACCTTAAATATCATCTAGTTCCAACCCCCCTGCCATGAGCAGGGATCCAGCCTGGTCCTGAATGGAGCTTCCACAAGTTCTCTGGGCAACCTGTTCCAGTGCCTTACTACCCACAGTTAAGAATTTCTTCTTAATGTCTAATCTAAATCTCCCCTCTTTCAGTTTAAAACTGTTACCTCTTGTCCTATTGCTACACTCCCTGATAAAGAGTCCCTCCCCAACTCTCCTGTAGGCCCTAGATGTACTAGACCATCTAGGTACTGGAAGGTCTCCCCAGAGCCTTCTCTTCTCCAGGCTGAACAAACTCAGCTCTCTCTGTCTTCACAGGAGAGGTGCTCCAGCCCTCTGATCGTCCTTGTGGCCCTCCGCTGGACCTATTTCAACAGGTCCATGTCCTTCCTGTTCTGAGGACTTCAGAGCTGGATGCAGTACTCCAGGTGGGGTCTCACTAGACCAGAGTAGAGGGGTAGAATCGCCTCCCTTGACCTGATGACCAAACTTCTTTTGATGCAGCCCAGGATACAGTTGGCTTTCTGGGCTGCCAGCACTCATTGCCAGCTCATGTTGAGCTTCTCATCCACCAACACCCCCAAGTCCTTCTCCTCAGGGTTGCTCTCAGTCTATTCTCTGCCCAACCTGTATTTGTGCTTGGGAGGAGGACGTTGTGCTTGGCCTGGTTTTATTTCATGAGGCTCACACAGGCCCACTTCTCAAGTCTGTCTGGGTCCCTCTAGATGGCATCTGTTCCCTCCAGCATGTTGACAGCTCCACACAGCTTGGTGTCAGCAAGCTTGCTGAGGGTGCACTCAATTCCACTGTCCGTGTTGCCAACAGAGATGTTAAACACTGCTGGTCCCAGTACTGACCCCTGAGGCACACCCACTAGTCACTGGTTTTCACTTGAGCCATTGACCACAACCTTTTGAGTGTGGCCATCCACCCAGTTCCTTATCCATCGAGTAGTCCATCCATCAAAAACTTTCCAGTTTAGAGACCAGGATATCATGCAGGACAGTGTCAAACACGGCGCATAAGTCCAGGTAAACGATGTCTGTTTCATCTCCTTCCAAGATGTTGACTTCCAAGTTGAGTCCCTCTGATACTTATGCTAGAAAAGCATAGGCAAAATATAGAAAGACAGCTTAAATGAAAAGTCAGATGCTAAAGCACACGAGATAGCTTGCAAAGAGAGGGCCTGTATATGTATTTTACTCCTTTGTTTTGTTGTCCTTTGATCTTTTGGTGCAGCAGTTAGATACTCAAACTTCATAACTGGGTGCAGCAATCAGATGTTCTGGTGCAACTCCTGCCAGAGATGACTTAGTACTTTACATTGTCTTTTACAGATAAAGGTGGGCTTTATTTTTCTTATTTGCCTTGAAACAATTGTCATTTAGGTAAAGAGTGTTCTATTTCCAAATCTATTGGTTGCACCATATAATACTACGACTATATACCCGTAATGGCAAAAACTTCTGCTAATCTAAATGTAAAAAATCTACTGGTATATACTACTGTGACAGTATAGAAATATAGCTATAATAAAATACAGCCACAATAAAAATAAATGTTGCTGTCCATAAGTCTGAAAGCACTGTAATGACTTTGAGATAAAGAACACTAACGGTGATGACTGTTTAACTCTTGGTAGGAAATCTAGGATTTCTAACTTATTTTGGGACATTTTATATGCTGGATCCTTTAAACTTTTGATGGAAGATACGCATGCATCTAAACTCCTGAGAAGTAATTAGTTATACTTTAGGATTATTTTTTAACATTTTGTTCTATTCCCCAAATCCAGAAATGTCATTCTAAACATTTTACCATGGTGAGGTATAGCTTCCTCTGGAGAGCAGAGGCACTGCTTGTGTGATTGCTATTTACCCATGTGAGACCATTTCTGTGCAGGGCTCTTATCTTTACGGTATCACTGATGTAGCTAATGTAAGACTCTTGACAGTACTACTCACCTGTTATTTAAAATTATATGTCTGTATCTCACAAAATGAGTGAGATACACTCAACAAATCTATGATTCTATGAAAGGGTTTTGTGTTGAACACCTTTTTTGCATAGATCAAGTGCCTACACTGAAAAAATATTAATCTCCCTCTTTACAGTGGTTAATAGTTTATCATCACCCTAATGTAAAAGGTGATACAGTGAGTTAGAAAGAATGGGGATTTTGGCAAAAGCTGCTTTCTCATGGTATTTTGTAGTAACATAAGAGTATGCGTCCGAGGAGCCTGTAGTTAATGAAATAGACTTATCATCACCTGCTTTCCCATAACCATAGGAAGCTTAGTCAGTTTAATTTTATTGAATCAATTTTGAGTGGTGATTGGTTTCCAGGTAAGTAGCAGTGGGTCGTAAATCCAACGCTCAGCTGTAGAAATGGAGCAGTGTAGGACCTGGGGTCCCTTAGGACTTTACCTGGGGGTTTCTGGTAAATCTCATATGAGCAACCTATTTCCACACAGCTCATCAACTACATCATCTCTCTGTCTGGGAAATGGAAATTAGAATCAGCCTTAGTAAATACAATTATTTTTCAGAGATTTTTTAAATAATGAAGCAGATGCTATAATGAGTGTGATTACATTGTTTTCTGTGTGCACATGCATTGAAATCTTGAATGAAATGAGAACTGGGTCCCACGTCCTCCGTTTTTTGTGATTTTTCAGTAGATGAATTTGGAGGACAGTTTTCAGGCTGGAAATATACTTAAAATGCAAAACTTAAGAAAGGGCTGATAGGACTGAAAACATACATACTCTTGAATAAAGCGGTTCCCTCTGATGATGGTAAATAGGTGCTAGTGCCACCAGAAGCAAGATGTTTTACACTAGTTAAGAAGGTCAGATATTGACCTTGTACTCAGCAATATTGCAGAGGAACTTTACATCTAACTATCCTTTTTTTTTCTGACCCGTATGAGCATTACAGTTGTTCAGATGTCCTCATCTTGAGGTAAGCCACCTATCAAACTGAAAATGGAAAAGCAAGGCTAAATCCGTGTGCAGTTAAAGTGGGACAAAATCAAAGTTTCTACAACTCAGGAGAGAATGTGCAAGGGGAAAATGAATCCAACTTTGAAAACTTGGTCTGATTTTTTTGAGGGGAGGGAGGGAGGAAAGTTTCCCCTGCACTGCATTCTTATTTAAAACAAACATCTACTATACTTATAATATGTTTTATGCCCAAATGTCACTGTACTCCAGGTACTGACCTGAGGCTACTAAATAGCTTTTTGGTGTTCATTTGAATGTCTAAGTGGCAGACATGTGGGACTATCCTGGCCTAGCTGTTCAAGCATATTAATCATTACTTTAGGTGTCAAAGAACAAGTAAAAGTTGTATTCTCCATGTGCTGCCTCATTAAGAAAATGATGTATATGTATTTTCAAAAAGCAGTAACAGAAAACAGAAGGTTCTTTCTGATTTAATTAATGCATGTGCCCTTTTGGAGATTCATAGATGCAAAATCAAGCTTAGTCACAGATCACAATGAGCCACACTACGTGTATTGACCTACTGAAGGGCATGAATTACTAACTTTGACAGCTTTAGATAATTCTGCGGCTTCCTGTCTTGAATGCCAATGACTTGAAATTGCAGGAAGGGAGAGTCCCAGGATTCCTGAGGGGCATTTGATCAAATGAACTTAAGGTATATTGTCTTTTAAATGGTATCTCTTCTAGAGTCTGTGAGACAACTGCTTTCAGTTTTGAGGCACCAGCATAACAAAGATGTTGAAGAACCTGAATACAGCAAGGGCCACCAAGATGGTCAAGAGCTGGGGCAGAGATTCTGGGAGGAGGATATGAGGGAGATGGATTTGTTCAGCTTCGAAAAGGGGTGGCTTTTGGGAACCAAATGGTAGCCCTCCAATGCTGCGGCAGAGGTTACTGAGAAGACAAAGCCATACTCTTTGCCAAAATGCACAGCAGGCGATAGATGGCAAACTAAGAAGGTTTCTAACTGGATGTAAGGAAAGTCACTATGGGGGATAATGAAGTAGTAGAAAAGGTTTCCCAGGGAGGTTTTAGTACATCCATCTCAGGAAGATTAAAAAACCCAACTAAACAAAGCCCAGAGCATTCTGATCTGAATTCAGTATTGACCCCAATTTGAGCAGCAAGCTGGACTTCTGGCATCCCTTCCATTCTGACTGATTGCATGTTCTCTGTGATGACAGAAAAAAGATTTACACAGACAGAAATATTTCACCTTCTCATACTTGTGGGCAAAAATTTGAGTGGTCAAAGAAAGTGTTTTGTAAGTTTTATAAGGCTTTGATAGGCAAGTCTGTGTACTAGATTCCTCTGCATCTAATAAACTTTAAGTTTGACATTAAAGCTGTATGTGATTTATAAAGGAGCTGTCAGAAAGTTTAGGATTTGTCAGAAATTGTCTTGGATGCCTGCTGTAACTGGCATAGCCTTTTTACTGTTAGTATTCTGTGTTTGCTTCCACTACAATTGTAATAGAATCCAATTTTCAGCCTTTCTTGTAAATGTCCTTTCAGAATTTTGAGGGCAAGAACTAAACTGAGGAGCTGAATCAGTTCATATCACAGTTAAACACCTAATCAGTTTAAGATTACTTTGACACTTACATTTAGACCACCGAGTTAAATTTGAGGGATGTGTATCTGATGAGAGCATTGATGGCTATATCTTAAAACTGTTATGACATACTGATAGAGTGTTTCCAAATGCCACAGAAATAATTTCACTGAAGTCAATAGAGAGACAAAGATTTATCGTAGCTGTGGATCTGTAGACATAAATAAAATTTGTTCTCATTTGACTGCTGTCAAAATTTCATGTCCTGGTTAATTAGAAGGTAATAAATCTTGAATGTCCCAATCATTAGAAAACTGTAGAAAATGTTACAAAACCCATGAATAGTTGCTGTACTTACCTAAATGGATACCCCTCAGTCTGGACTACACATGGTTCTAGTCATCTGTAAAAGCCAGTAAGAACATGTCTTGTTAGGTTTCTCCTGCTGCAGGCAGCCACAAATCTTGTCTTATTAGGAAAGAATTTTCAGAATGCATTTTTTGGAAAATATGTTGTTTTCTTGCTTTTCCTTCTTTTAATCTCTCAGGGTTTGGGGTTTTGTGTTTTGCTTTGGTTTTTTGGCTTTTTTTTTTTTTAAGTGCTGTATAACATCATGGAACCAGATTTGTAACCAAAGCCAGATAAGTTTGCTTTTTTTTTTTAATTCCACTGTCTCATCTCAGAACCAAATGGAGATATCCGAGTGTTGAGTCAAGGTGATAAGCAGTAAAATCTTTCTTATGTTACACGCAGAAGATGGAATCTTTCCAGAACCTCTTAGGAAGGTATTTTCTCAGTGGTTTGGGGTTTTTTAATATGCACATGACTTAAGCTCAATTCTATAGAATTAAAATAACTAGCTCCCATCCTAAACACTGGCCACTCTGAGTTTCAAATTGTAGGTTTTATCTGAAGATTTTCGTATAAATATCTTATTGTGCTATTCATTAGTTGGTTTCTTTCCCTGCAATAGAAACCTGAAAGAAGAGAATTTATTCTGCCATTAATAACTGGAATACAGTAGAACCTGATTTTTTTATATATCTGGAGAGTAAAAGTAGTTTGAATGTTCTCTTGTTCCTTATTTCATTGCAGTATTTTGTGTATGAAGCCACCATTCAGCAGTGCTCTGATGGGAAACCTAGAGAGCTCAAAATGTGATTGTGTGAAATTACTGGAGCTCTTCCAAACATGGAAACTTTAATTAGCTTAAGTTTCAAAAAAACCAGCATAACATTTTAAGTGGAAGATTTTTAATCATTCCTGCTGCTGCTGCATATTGTCCATCCAGTTAGCCTCAAAAATACCTGATGTATGAAATATTTCCTTCCATTTCTTACAAACCTAGCAAAAACAAGTGTAACATTTCATTTTAAATATCTTATTAGTATTAATTTGTTTAGGATTTCTTATAGTTAAATTAATCATTGTTGTAGTCATATTTGGTAAATTTTTGCATGGCATATGTCTTTCACATGGTATTTACTGTGGTTTAGAACTAGCTCAGTTATTAAAAAAATTTGCTACTAGAAGAAAAAATGAAACAGTGAAACACTTTTTACTTTATCCTTACTTGTTTTCCTACTTCGTTTGCAACATCTGTGAATGAGCAAAACTGGTAGCATTTGAACTATGCATTATTTTTCATAGATCAATGAGAAGTCATGTAAACAGCTTCTGTTGACGACTTCTTGGGAACTAAACAAAGCATTCACAAAAAGCTTGCAACTATTGCTCTACAGTAGCTAGATGTAGAAGAAAACAAGTCTTGGTGAGTTAGCATGGAGAACAGTTCAGGTATACTGAACTGTTATATACCTCCAGGTGCTTCTCAAGAAGAAATAACCATTTCAGGAAACCAAAGAATGTTAACTGTCATGTATTTGCTGTGGGCACACCTGGAAAATAAACTCATACAAACAAGAAACTGTTGTATATTCCTTTTTATCTGGAAATGGATCCAGAAAAGGGAGAACACATGAGAAAACAAAAATTCTATGGGGCTTGGAAGCAAAGCTACATCTGGACACAAATTTTAGGTTTTGTAGAGGCTGTTCTGGGGCCTTCTGTAATAAACCTTTCTTGTTTTCATAGATGGCTTTTGTTGGGTTACATATGTATTAGACTCATGTTGTGGCAAAGACTGTATTTTCAGGGTTTTATCCTTTTTTTTTTCAGATCATTTTGTTAGGTTTTAAGCTGGTTAAAGTCTGCTTTGCAAACAGTATTGAGAAAGACGAAGTGTGTAAAGGTGAGTCTGCATAGGGCCCATCCTGTGTGTCAAATACAAGGCGACAGAAAATCGTGTGCATTTCTCATTTTCCTATCTCTCTTTTTCTTACTTACTTTGTTTCTTCACAAACACAGATGCGATGTCCTGATCCTATTGGAGCATCCTAGTACAGAACTACCATTTATAATTCATAGTGACGAATCAAACACACCAGGAGAGACAGATGATGTTTCTGTTCTTGTAAAATATTCTCTCTCAAAAAGATGAATGCCCACTTGAGATCTTACATACTCCTTGCTCATCAGCGGCATAGAGCAGCAGGAAGAAAGATCATAACTAATCAGGGACTCCTGAAAGTTAGTCCCTGCCCTGTCTAGGCATTTGATTTCGACAGAAGGCCAAGGCATGTGAAGGTTTTTAGTTTTCTAAGGCCCTAGTTATCTTCCTTTAAAATCAATGGATCTCCAATAAAGGCTTCAACAGGATCAGTTGTAGGTTATGACAAGGACTTTTGAAAATCTTAACTGTTAATTTCAGCAATTCATAGCTGAAGAGTGTCATAGCTGCAAGAAAATAGTGTAGTTAAGACGATGACTGCTCTTTTAATGATAGTGTTGTTTTAGCTGCGGTGATCTAAGGACAGACAGGAGACAAAATATATATAGAAATCACGTCTCTAATTAGAACAGGTAATTTAGTAGAAAAAATGCACAAACTTTTAAACATTTGAGCTTGAGGTAAAATTATCTTGAGATAATTTTAATAATAGAAGATTTAGAAGAGTGGGTGTTAACTGTTAGAGGATTACATAATATATATAGGGGGCAAAAGACAGTTCTCAGACACATGAAGTCTAACAAAGAAGAAGAAAATTCCTGACTGAAATAACTTAGAATGGCACTTGGGGTGTGTTTTCATCACCTGTTTAAGCCTAGTGATGACTGTGCTACTTCTGGGGCAGGTATTCCTTATTTATGTGACTGCAGGTTTAGGTAGTCTTTGTTTTGTCACGAAGATAGTGAAATTAAGTTAATAAATTAGATAGATATCCGTCGAAAAGGTTAAATGAAAGGAAAATTTCTGGAACATGGAGTGTCATGAGGGAGAGAACTGAAAGCTGTTATCCCTCGTGGAGCGACAGAAATTTATAATTAGCCTCTATGAAATGAGGAACTCAGCAGAGGTTTGGAAAAGACTGTAGAAGATCATAAAATAAATGTGTCTTGACTGAATTGATGTGTTTTGTTTCAGCAGAAGTGTGAATTTTGTTTAACAGGCTCATCTTTTTTGTATGTCTTCCTTGCAAATCAGGTTGAGAGGTAAAAATAGAGTGCTGCTTTTGAGAGAATATTGCATAGGATTAGGATGTTATTTTCTAAGTCTTGCTTTAGACTGCCAGTGAAGAGTCTGTTGCTAAAGGCACTTTAGTGGCAGTTCCTACCAATATTACTTCATAGGTTTTATTTCTTTTTCATGTATTTAGAGCTTAATAACATCAGAATATTCTTGCAAGAATGTAAATTTATTGATCTTTTAGTGATCTTTTAAAGAGATTCATCATCATTAAATCTCCTGAAATATTTCATAGTTTCATAATATTTCAATATTCAGTATTTCCTGAAATATTTCATATTTTAACTAGTGCAAGCAGTTTCTTAATTCTGTTCTGGTCAACTATGCTGCTATAAGGGTCATTTACTATTGTCATGAGAATAAATGTATTGATCGTAGTCAATTCCAGATTCGAGTGAATAGGGTGTTTTCATTATACCAAAGAAGCATACTAGATAACCCATGTCTCAGTTTCTTTACTGGTTGGTGACTACATTCAGCAGTCTAGCCCGTAACAATTTATTGTTGTTTAGACAATTATTCTGTCACCTGATGACCCCTTTCCACCCGGAAAGGGGAATCGGGGAGGACAAAGGAACACAAGGGCTGACATATAAAGAGATTTCATAGGATAAGACTAAATAACTAACAATAATACGAAAGAACCAGTATTGATCCCGACACTAATGTAAGATAAACAAGAATTATACTCAGCCAGTTCTATCGGGGGAAGCTGTGCACTCCCAGCAGGGACAGCAAATGGCGGACACTGCGACCACTACGGCTTCAGGAGGAAGCGAAGGCCTCAGGGGTCCGGCTCCAGGGCAAGGAGTCCTCTGGACCGCCACCATCAAGGGAGAGAGAGAGCTATGCAGCAAACTTCTGCAGTTTAAGTTGAATGTGACGTTCATGGTATGAAATAACCCTGTTGGCCAGCCTGGGTCAAATGCCCAGGCCTCGCTCCTCCTCGACCCTGCACCTGGTCAGGCTTGAAAACACTGAGGCCCTGGATCCCACACAGCGTAGCTGGCTATAAAGTAAACATTTTCATGAATTCAGACACCGGAGTCTTCTAAAAGTGCAGTTTCCCCCAGCATGAGAAGAAAAGTTAGTCCTGTGTTGCTTAACCCAGGAAAATAACATGCTTGATCACGTGTGATCAGCCCTGAAGTAGTCAGGCAGTCGGACTAGATGATTGTGTAGGTCCCTTCCAACTGAACCAGTCTATTCTATTCTATTCTATTCTATTCTATTCTATTCTATTCTATTCTATTCTATTCTATTCTATTCTATTCAGCATTCAGCTGTCACTCTCTTAGTTTAATAGCCACAAAGTTATAAAAATTCATAAGGCAATCAAGGCGAGTAATTTAGTGAATGTATTGTATTTCCTGGAGAACTTCAGGACCTTGCTATCTGTCCAGGAAATATGTGAGAGGCCCTTTAGCCCTGCAACTGCCTGGAATAAGGTTTATAGTATTTAAGGGTCTGTCATGGTTCTCAAACCAGGACAGGATCTAATGAACTTAAGCAGACAGATGGAAAACGTTCCCCTGCCCACATGGGCTAGTCTTGAAAGGTTTCTTTTGCTGGTAAGGCAAAACTTAGCCACCAGGTTATGTTGTGTCTTGGATCCTACCTCCTAAGTGGAAATTTTGCTCCTATCTCACCTACTCAGGACATTGTACATTCTAACTTGCAGCCTAGAACCTGTCACTTCTCTCACTCCACCCTTTAGATGTTGCATTTCCTTCCACCATGCATCTGTGACATCAGGCTTTTGTCATTGCCTTTGCTTGACTCTGAGTAGAAGGGGATCCAATTGTCTCAGTTTCAGATCTAACATTTGAGGACAGAAGTGTGATATTTTTCGTGGAGGTAGTCACTTCTCACTTCAACAAATGTTTGAAACTGCTGTGCTTAAGCTCACAGCAATTAAAGACAATTCCAAGATGAAAAAATATAGAAATATGACATTTTGTGCTGGCAAATTCTAAGGAATAGGACTTTGCCAAGACTACAGCAAAATAATATCAGAATAATCTAAACTGTCTGTTCTAATCAGTATTCAGATTGGCTTGATCTTGTATTTGCTGGAGAAAGGCTCCTATTTGCATAGCAGTTTCACTGCTTAGGCTGTATTCATTGGCCAACTGTGGAATTGAGTTAGCCCATAATGGTAGTTTACTAACTTTCCACAACAAATACTAACACCGTTTTAAGAAGAGTGTGTAACTCTGAGTCCACCTGCCTCTAAAACCACATCTTGGTATATATTTTTACTAATAAATAGCCTTGGGAGAAAATTAATTTCCCTGACTTAAGATTTAAATTGAACTTAATCCCATTGCTACTTGACAACCACATTAAAGCAGTTATCTAGCCTTCTACTAGTTAGTTTTGCAACTTTTCCTTTTGTGAGTAACCTAACAGGAGCATCCTCCCCACACCTTCAGGGAGGTGGTGAAAGAGACGGAGCTGGGCTCTTCACGGCTCTGCTTGGTGGAGGATAAGAGGCAGTGGGCACAAACTGGAACTAAAACGGCTCAGACTGGATGTAAGAAGAAACTTTTTCCCTGTGAGGACAGTGCAGCAGGTGGAGCCAGGACACAGAGAGGATCTGCCATCTCATTGAAGGCTTTCAAGCTCCAACCAGATAAAGCCCTGAGCAACCTGATCTAAGCTAAGAAGTGGCCTTGCTGTGGACAGGAAGTTGGACTAGAGACCTCCATAGCTCCTTCCAAACTGAATTTCCTATGACCTTGTGAATGCTATGAAATCCCATCTTTCCTGAGATGCCTTAGGCTTCATTCAGTAGCAAAATTTAAAATCTTGGAATGTCTGCATCTGACTCTATCTAAACCTGTAGCTTCCTTTTTCCCTACTCCTAGGTGAGAAAACCTTACTTCTTAATTGGGAAGAGGGACAGAAGACGGTGGCAAAGAAGATTGAAGAATTGCTAAGCTTATCATCACTTCTCTTCCATTTTGTTGTGATTAGGAGAATTTTAGCTGCAACATTTTCTCTTAAAACTTTGGGGTAGTTGATGCACTTGTGGCTACATTGCCTTAAGCCAGTCTTTCTCCTCCTTTTTTCCTACAAAGATCTGGCAAATAGGTTTACTCAGTCCTGTGAATTCAGGACTGGCTGAAAAGGTATCTTCTGTTCTACAGCAGTTTGTTTTCGGGCCTTTTGTGTCCTTTTCTTCCTGTCCTAGAATGGGGATGAAGGCCCAACTTGATCTTTTAACTTTTCTGAAGCCAAAATGGGAGTTTGAGGATTTCTGTGAGCTGTTCCCCCACTAACTAGGTAGAAGGAAATAACGTAAATGTGGACCGATGCTGATGAACAGAGAATCAGAG